TCCCCGCGACTTCAGGACAGACAGCGCATTCCGTTCCGGACAACTAGCTCTATATCGCCGATACAGCCTCGGATTGGAGCGGCATTTTTTTAGTAGGCTGAATTTCTCGAAGGCTGTGAATCTTTTCCGATACTTCTCCGCGCCTGCGAGGCTGAGCCACGATCATCCTTCCGCGGGAGGCTCAAGAAAACGCATGGGCGCCTCCAGTCCCTGGAAAACTCGAATGGACGCTTTGGAGGGCTGCCGATGGCTTGCGTAACTTACCGAGGGAACTCGACTTAGCCGCAGTGGATGCCGATTCGCGCTCCGGACTTCCATTCTGCTTTCGTAGATTCGGGCTCGAGCTCCGATGTTTTCCTCGCTCCTGATGACGAACGCCGAAACGCTTCGAGCGTAGCTGATTTTTCATACATGTCTGGGGATGCTAGGGCCCTTATGTCGCAACACGTTTGCTTGTACTGTGAAAAGTTCTGTATGTTGCCGCATACGCCCCCCTTTACCCCTAGGGACTCCCTACTTAGACCAGGCTGGGTTTAAACGCACGAGGCGAGACTTCTTTTCGTAACTTCGCTTTTACAACTTTTGCGAGTATTTGTTCAAGAGAGCGATCTAGGTGGGAATGGAGCAACACATGAGAGAACTCTCTCGTCCCCTACGAGGAATGTATCTGAGGAAACCGGAGCGGCTCCCCGTCTCCTCGGGCGAGCTCGGATCTCCAATGATGACACTCGACGTCGCTCCGTGGGACAGAGATTCATCCTTGTTTGGATAAAAAACGGAAACATCACACTTTCTTATGTTTCCCGAACGAGACTTGCACGCTCGCTATTGCTCAAGTCTGCTATAAGACAAACTGGAAACTCAGAGCGGCAATGTTGTCCCCAGACTGAAATGCTACTTTACGCTCGGAGGGTTACGGCCGGGTGGCTGGCGCGTCTCCCTACATATTTTATGTAAAAACATGGGAACATTTTATTAGTTGCTCCCTCACACGGTGTCTTTGGCTCATGCATAGCGAGCGCAGTAGACGCCTCTTCTTCGCAGAAAAATCCCTGTTGTCGAACATTCGTCGGCGTCGGTCGTCGAGATCGTGCCGAGAACATCCGTTGCGATAGGTGTCGGACCAGACGCGGAAGATTCCAATATTCGGATCGGCCGTGACAAGCGCGCCTCTGGAATTTTTCATGACCGATCTGCGAACCAGCATCTGTCCCTGAACGCCTATCTAGTTCCTCTCTTCGATTCCACCGAGCTTTCAAACATTTCTTCGAACTACTCGAATTTTACTCTCTCCGTTCCGTCTCATGTTAGAACGAGGTAGGTCCGGAACTCTGATGCACTCGCGCTATTTCCCCGCTGATTTCGAGTCTTTACACGCTTCACGTGTGGAACGCTCTCCGGACAGGGAACTTGGCGTAGGTCTCGTGATGAAATCTCTTCGAGAAAATGTCCACGGGAAAACTCTCGAGTGCGCCGCTTTTTTTTACAAGCACTCCGGTCTAATCATTCGTCTTCCGGCGGCTTTAGTGGACACAGCTGTGAGTGACGGTTTTCACCTCGTCGCGGTTCCCGAGTGCCGGTATTGAAGTCTGCGTCAAGGTTCGCGAGGTCCTTCAAGTTTTCGCTCAGCGATATACGGCTTCATAATAGAAGCAGGCTCGGAGTCGAAATTTCAAAACGGATTTCTAATATCGGTCCCTCCGACTTTCATCCGATGTTTGAGTATGATCGTCTGACAGGAGAGGATTCGAGCAGATTATTGGGGTTTCCACGTCCCGATCATGGAAAAATCGATCTATTCCTAGAAATGAAGTTTTATACCTTTCTAGTCGAGCCTCGATCCCGTTGGGAGAGAGCTCTCCGAGCCTTGTTCGACCATTCCACGTGGAGGGTCCGCGCTGCTTTCAGCGTATGTGCATTGCTTACCACCGAAAGTCCGATAGGAGGTCCCTCCAGAGGCAAGCGTTCGCACCAACGGCTGTGATAATCGGTTCGATTAGAGCAAACAGAATCTCCCAGGTCGGATTACAGCCTCCATGAACTTTGAGGATTAGATACAGTCGTCGCTTGGGCACAGACACGAAGAGAGCAAGCACCATGCTCGAAGCCGAATATTTGAGGGTCGGGGTGACTTAGAATGAAGTCCAGCCTCGACAGAGCTCTTCAAGAGCACCAATGAGAGATTCCTAGCAGAAACCACGAAGAGAGTGCGCTCAATGGACTGGGACAGCTTTCTGGCTTTTGGGGACGCGTTTCTATGAGTGGCGAAAAAAGCCTCAATGAGTGCTCCGCATGACTCGTCGCTCCATGAGGTGCTATCCACAATAATTAGGGTTTCATCGCTTCTCCCCCCCCCTACATCTATCCCCTTGAACTGGAGGAGAATTCCGATATGCGTATGCTTGTTGGAGCTCCGAGCACACATGAACGTAAGGCTCTGAAATTTAGGCTCTGGAACGCTTTTTAAACTCGCTCCAGAAGAATGGCCTCTACTTATCCACGACGGTCTAAGCTCGTAGGACGAATCATTCATGGCGGACCCTCATCCCCTTCTTGCGTGATTGTGGAGCCGATGTTTCCAAGGCTCGTTCTAGCCATCCTGGGCTACGAGCCGGAGTTATTCATTCAATCCTAGAGAAGCAAAGCTCTAACTTAGATCGGGCGATTCGATCTTGGTGGATGTGGAGTTCAATCGTCGTTGCAGCAATCGAGAAACTATCATGTAGCGCTGCTCCCCCGTCAAATATTATTGAGCTCAAGAGGTGACCATGTGAGCTCCCGAGAGCGCGGAGAGTCCTGCCCGCTTCCAATCGCACCTGAGGGCGATTAGGTGGAGGTGTGCCTAAGGTATATTGCGGGCAGCAGAGCTCATCCAGACAGAGAACTCGCGAGCACGCCCGTGGGAGAAAAAGCGTGCCGTCAGATGAGCGGAGGATATGCGCCAGATATGACACTGATCCGAGTACTTTTCGCTCTCCAAAGTTCCTGATCATCAGACTCGGGGCTCGAAGCTCAGAGAGCAAACTTTATTCTCATACAGTCGATTATTATCATAAAGTTAGGACCAGGAAAAGTTCTCATTGGCAAGACGAACGGAGAGCTCATCTTCTTCGACTAATCCATCGCATGGTTCATGCTCCCACCCAGCGCGAGAAAATTTCTCGTGAGCTCAGGAATCGTCGATCTCCAGAATGGAGAAAACTTCACGCTGCTCCGAGCAACGACGAGATGAGTTTCCATTGTGCAGGCGCCTTCATACTCGGAAAAGAATGACGTCGATCGGCCACAAAAAATTTTTAGTAGGTCTCCACTTATTTCCCGCGAGGTCCTGGAATTCGACAAATGCTCGATGCGGCCCCGCGAGCAGGTCGGCGGGATTCCTCCCGCTTCGCCCTGCATTTATGATCAGCATCATCGGAGAGAGATACGCGGTGTCCTTGTGGGTTGACTTCGTTCCGAAGAGCGTGATCGCCTCAAATTTTCGCTAAGGAATCGAATCGATCGTCTAATCCAGTGTTTCGTCTCGCCTGTGATCTTTCGAAACTCGAGATTCGAGCTCAATAAGATACGGGAACAAATGAGCCTGAATGAGAAACCTGAGCTCCCATGACTCCTCCGATCCCGCTCAGCGTGAAGTCATACGGATAATTCAACCGGAAATTGTATTCTCTCTCTATTGAGCCGGAAATTTTCTCACCGTAAGCACTTCTCTCCGCATCCTGTCCAAGCGCCTTGTCAAGAAGTTCAGCGCTGAGGTCTGTCTGCGCGCTCGTCGCGGAGCCCCTGAACTTTGGCAAGTTGCTAGGATGGCTAACGGGGGGAATCAAACGGCGTCAGATAAGCAGTGTGACCTTAGGTATTTTCCACCGAAGCTCGACTCGCAACCAATGCGGTATCGATTGCGAGTCTGTGCGAATCGCTACACACGTTTTCGATGATTTAGGAAAGCTCATCGTGGGGTTCTCCAATCGTTTAGTGCTCATATGGAATCCTTCTCCGGTTCAGAATCGATCTCGGAACGCTGGCTGTGATGGAAATATCCCGCCGCTCTGGAGGAACTCCGCAGGACTCCGATCTGGTGGGTCTTCGACAGGGTCTTGCGAGGGTGATTCCGAGCAGAAATCGTCTCGTTTCTCTCCATGTACGAAGTCATGATCATGAAACCTGGTGATTGCGCGACAAGACTTCCCCACGATTCGGTGAGTTCTTCCCGTCGCATCGGAGCTACTGTGCTCCTCGGTTGACAGGTCGACTGGGTTCGAATCTCACTATTTTCGTCGCCTAATCAAAAGTATGAGACAGGACGACGTCCTGTCAAATCGACTCTGATTGTCGCGGCGGAATGTCTCGCTTCTTAGTGCCCACCAGAGCTTGAGATCGAATGTGACTCGATGTTCCGATACGCATTCCGCCGCGTGCACTGACGTCGGCGACGTGGATAAAGATGGAACCGTGGCATTGGCGGTCTCCAGAGGGGGCTAGCGCTCCTCGCCATCGTCGACCGTTCCCTGAATCAATTTCCGTATCTCTGCATATCCTCACGATTATTTGGGATTGCGATGAATTCCTGAATAGATCCATGTTGCAGGCTGCTCGGATGCACCGAACTCAAGGCGTATTTTTCTTGGAGCGAAGAGCCCGAGCCATGGAAACCTACCCGCACCCACGGGAAGGTAATGTCCGCGATCCGCTGTGTGCGAGGGCGATGCATCCTCGCAAATTCACTCTACCGTCGCTTATCCTATCCTCTCTTTTTTATGAGTACCGGAATAAATCACCGAAGACGAGAGTACCGCTCTGCGATCCTTTTAGGTTGATTGACGCATTTAATAGGCCTAAGCTGTCCAGAAAGGGAGGCCGCCGAAAGATTCAAGGTAGCCAAAGAAGTCTTCCCGAAGTTTTCGAGTCGGGGGATCCCAGGAGATCCCCGATCCATAAGAATGCACGTTCCATTAAATAAATCCGATGAAATCTGGAGAACCTTTATTAGTCCATTTTAATAGTAGAAGCGAGGTAAGACTGTACAGATGGGAATTCCGAGGACCTATTCGGCTCGGACAGCGGATATTCTGAAAGTCTAATGCAAGCCGAGGTCAGTAGTCAAGCAACGAATCACATATCGGTCCCGACAAGCTCAATTCTTCTTGAGAGTTCAACTCCAGATCCTCGATATCCTTCAGAAGATCTTTCACATATGCACAAGAAGAAGGTCTCCGAACGCCGCTCACGCTGCAGTCATGTCGCACCATGCATCTGGAAGCAAGAGAAGGAATATTCCAACGAGTCACACGCGTTCCGCTCAGAGGAGCCGAAAAATAAGGAAAACAGGATCGTCATGCGACGGAGTTCGCTGCCAGGGACTCCGCACTCACTTGCCACAAGGGATATTACAGATTGCCATCGAAGTAGTGCTGTGATCAAGAGAGGCCCATAGAGACAGATGATCGTTAGAATCACCGATTTTCTCCGAGCTTATAGATCGTACGACTTTGCCCTGATAATGTAGCGTATTCAAGATCACTTCTATGTCGCCGACGTCCAATTGAACTTTCGAGATCCCTGCAACACAAAGGAAAGGTCTCATCGCCCACTGAGAGAGGATATCCAATCAGTGGTCCTCAGCTTGAGCGTTTCCTACCGGAGAGAAATTCAATGATTATGATCCTGATGGCGGATTCTCACCCAGTTGTTTGATGAAATTCCAAACGTCTTCGGTGCTGGCCACTGCATTGTTCCTCATGTTGATGAAGTCGTCTTGGAACTTCTCCGAAGCAGTCTTCGCTTTGTGAACCTTGAAGAAGATGATGTCAAAAACAGTCATGTCTCAAACCGAGGAGGCGAGGGTTCGAAATACTTGCGACATGTAAGAGGATCCCGCAGTAAGCGAAGATCGATACTCGGTCGAATATCCGAGGGAATACCCACAAGGAACCTCAGGCATTGTTGCTGGAGGATATCGACGAACTCTGACTCGAAATCTTGGCCGGAATACCACGCGCCGCCAGTGATCGATCGATCGGGCTCGAGCTCGTACAGCATGTAAACCTTCTTCTTTGCAGCCGATACCGACTTGACGGATTTGATGAGCTTCTTCACTGTAGGTCGACATTAATGAATCACTTTATCGATGCAGTGAGGTAGACTGATCGATGGAGGTCTGAGAATGTACTTCTGAAGCACTGACCTTCGAGACTTTTAAGAACCTTGCTGAGTTGAGCAAGCACCAGGCCGGAAAAGATGCGTATGTCTCGGATCCAGATGCCCTTGTTCCCAGCGCGTTCGATGACTTGAAAAACGACCCGCTCATCTCTCTCACAACCCCGAGTTTTATCCTGATCTACGAATCTGAAAATGTAAGCGATTGATCCATTGCTTTCAGGAGAATTCCGCACGCCCATTGGCTTCGATGCCTGAGCTGTGTGAAAGTTAATATACCACGTATCTAGGGCCCTACCTGTACAAGAGCTTCCCTCCTTGCTTGAGGATCTCAATTTTCCCCTTGGCCAAGAGTTTGTTTATGGCCATGGCCCTTTGTGGAGGCTTCACGAATGGCATGGCAATCTGTGAACAGACAGAAAAGTTGGAAAACTTCAATAATTCATGCTTCTCGCGGGTCATAAGTTCCATTCGTTTTTTTTCGCTCCAGACAGCTGCGCAGGCTGCATAGGTTCACTGGGTGGTGGCTCGCGACCGAGATCCAAGCAGTTGACGGAATCTGATACCATAACGATGAAGTCGTTTGACGACGACTGCTTTTCATCAATTGATGATCCCATTTCGACTTCGCTCGTCGAGATCGGGACTCGGCATTGACATGACGTCCTCTGTAGCTGATAGGAGGAGGTAAGATGGAGGTCTCACCTGCATAACACTATCATTGATTCCTTCCCTCTGACTTTCACAGAGTTTCATGATGGTGTCTTCGATTTCGTGGACGGAGACCGGGTCGAGAGTTTCTTCCTTCACTTCTGCTGGTCCAGCATCAGACCCACCAGGCTCTAACTTTATCCGTTTGAGGTTTGATTCGGAATCCATCGCACATCGGTGAATAAACGATTGAATAGAAAACCGGCGCTTAGACACTCGATGAGCGCTTTTCCTCTCCCATTTCTCTCGCACGATGTGCCCAAATGTCTTCTGCTATGTTTGTAAATAAACGAGCGCACCGAGACGCGGCATCCCGTACTTTCTCTCACGTCATATTTCCAATTTCCACTTCGTCGGCTCCATCCTTCACCGAGGGCAGGTAGCGACTGTAATCCGGTAGCCGAAGAGGCGGCCCTTGCAGAAAATGGGAAAGCAGGAGGCTGCCGATGGGATGAATTGGTGTGCAGCGGAGAAAACATAACTTCCGTACATTAACACGATATCACGCCAAACTCAAATCGCCGGGGTCTCTTCCAGCCTGAATAAAACGATAATTGAACTACACCCCCTAGCTCCCTCCTTCCCTCTTCTCAGGTGAAGCTCGCCCGGGGCAGCGACCCACGGGCTAGCAACTCGCCGCACGTCTAACAACTAGTAAGGGAGAACCAAATTGGTTCTCCCTCCCTGTTGGGGCATATTCGTATTCATGGGATATTTGTGAGTACGCCAATATTCATACGGATAACGCTATAACCGATAGCTCAATTCTCAGGTAAGCCCTGACCCCGGTATCGACCTCAACGTGCCCAGACACCCCCAATTAGCCTCTCAGCTCGTCTTCGTAGCCTCATTATATAGTGGTAGTCTGATTCGTATCAATAAGGGCACATTCACAAAAATTTCATGAATACGAATACGAATATATTCGTATTCATGAAATTATCGTAAGTATTTGTACTCGTATTCACGAATACGAATGTGCCCCTTTCTGGAGCCAACTCATCGGCGACCTCCTTCCTTTTCCCTACTCTCGGTGAGCCATTCGACCTTCTCGTGGAATCACAGTCAAGTCTTCCCACTGCGCGAGTCGACTAGACCAGGGGAGGCTAACTTGGGTGAGCTGGGGGACCCCCTGACCGGCGGGGAGTCGGCGCACCCCTCATTTCTAATAATGCACTTTTTCACAAGCTTCGAATGCGAAGTTCGACGTTCGATTCGACGTGCTTGTCAGCGATGTCTGCAGACTTGATCTTCTCGCTGCGAAACGTGCAGCCTTGATTCCCAGACAGTTCATGATCAATGACCATATATTCCATTGGGGAATCTGACTCCGAATCTGACTCAGGAACCACGTCGCGGACCCCCACTTGGCCACCCCTGGACTAGACTTAATTTCACGGTGCAAGATGAGGGACAGCGCTGCCCAGTGCTCAAGACCCAAATCGCTGATCCAAATGCCCAAGTGTTCTACACAGATCGGAATGGGTATTGCTATTCTCTCCTTGGGTGTTAGCATTCCGCGGCACGCGACGCCTGTTTTGGATCGAGTATGGTATCGAATATAACGTCCCTCACGGTGAATCCTCACCCCCCCGGCGGATGGGCTGGGAGGATATATTACGCACCCCTGGTCAACGAAGTCTCCGGAGCCGCTCTCAATCGAGCACCTGACCAAGCTCCTCCGGTCTCGCGGGAACACCGGTGTTTCACCGGTTTTTGTCCTGACTGAGAGATAATGTGTCTCAGGTGTTCTTGGAGTACCTGACGGGTGGTCGAGTGGTTTGCGCGTTTGTCTACTCGCGTGTTGTACTCGCGTAAACGTGCATAGCCGCAACGACGCCGCTCACGCGGGAGGCGGCACCGAGATGTCTCCGGCTCTATCTCCAGAATGTTCTGCAGTCTCGACCCGCAACTATCTCTTTGTGGTAATCATTCTATCTTGATCTCAGAAGGGACTCTGCTGCCGTCGGATAGCGATTTAGACAACTCAGGATCGTATGTGAATGCGGTTATCAGCGTTGTGGTACAGTAGTGGCAGTTCGGATAAGGCCACCCTATGATACCGAATCCGTGGACGAACGGAGTGAAGTAATTCACATCTGACACCTCGTTCCGATGCTTCTATCCAAGGAATCATATCAGGCAACTTTCAGCTAACACCGTCAACTACCCTAAATGAACGAAAAATTCGGATTATCGGGTGGAAGTTTGGATAAGGCCGCCATGTTTTATTCGCCCAATTTCTGCCAGAAAAACCCTTTGGCACCTTTCTAGTACTTCGTAAACCCTCCTTTGCACAGAAGGACATCCCTGAGGCGCGTGGGCATGGAATCGGCCCCACCTCGACCCCAACTCGAGGGCCTTGGTCGCGTAGTTTATCCGATTGACCAAGTGGTGCTTCTGCAAGCGCGGCGTCGGTGCAAGTTTCTGCCAGTTGAGATGCTGAGCGGACGAGAGAATGCTTCTGATCTGCCTTTTAGAGACCGGCAGGCAGAGTTCAGCTTTGAGCTTCGACGAGTTCGATCCAGACTTTGAGGCCTCGCGCAGAAGCTTCCTCTTTTCGCGTTCGGCCAGCTTGGGATCCCCTTTTTTCGAAAAATTCTTGCCGTATGAGGATGGGTCTCTGCAGAAATTCTGCACCACGCATCTCGAGCGCTTCAGTTTGACCGCAATTTGGTTCATCGAAAGACCACAATCACGGTAGGCCACGATGGAAGCTTTTTCGGTGTCACTAAGGATACTTTTACGGCCCATCTTGCGTGGGGACAAAGAGAGCAAATTAGACCGGACACTGTGAGGCTTTCGAATCGATACTCAATGTTGAAAGGAACGGCTCCCTGCTTCTTACCTAGGAATCGCAGCTTATCGAGCTTAGAGAAACTTCCTCCAAACAGGACTCGATTTGCGAATGCGGAGTCGCCGGTGCGTGAATTCTCATCGTCATCACCGTTTTCGCGGTTCTGAGTAAGTGATTTCAGAACTCTGTAGACATATGTATGTCCGTACATGTTTCCAAAAACGGAAGCAACTCATCATCGCGTGGGGAGCCGAGCCTCCCTCCGGCTGGATTGAGCGGAGCCGATCAGTTGAAGATATCTTAAGTCATGGGTCGTGGTACGTTGTCTATCATTCCCGACGGAACCACACACTCTTGTGATAAGAGGCGCTCCCTTGGTGCAATTGAGGACAACCCTCGCGGAATCGCGTGAAGAGCGAGTAGAGAGGGCATCCTTGACCACTACAGAAACTGAGATTTGTCGAACGTCGAACGCTTTGCTCAGTCTCTCGGCAGAGCGCAGACTCTCGCAGCCGAGTCGCCATCGTCAGTCGCACGTCGTGTTGGAACCAAACAATAAGATGTTGAATCTTCCATGAAGTGAGGGAGGGAGAAACCGACTCGATTCTAAGTCCCGTGCCTTCCCCAGTCCACAAGTATCTATGTTCTCGAGTAGTCGTTTTCAGATTGGCAGGATCGGAGGAAAAGGCGAGCAGAGCAGATCTTTAAGTTGGTGTTGTGAATCATAGATAGAATTTATTATCCTTCAACTCGAGTCTTCTGACTGGAGTGCGCCACTCTCGAGCTTCGAAATAGATCCGTTATTGATGGGTCGACATGAATCACATCGAGTAAATTAGGCGCTCTGTAGAATGCGGGCTCCCGATGGTATCTTGGCATTGCAGGATGTCCGACCTTTTTCGGTGCGAGTTGTGTATTGCATCAGGTGTAAATGTTAGAGCTTTCTCTGTGTCCGGGGGAACACGGTACCTCGTGGAAAATCAGAAAGATCGGTGCCATCTTCCCACGATTCCCCCACTGTGATTCTCTAGTGGTCGCCGAGCTTGTTGTCTCAGACTGACCGCTGTGGGTTGCGAGATTATCCAACGAACGTTCTGTGAATTATTGTAGATCATCTCACGACTTATAGGGAGGATCAAGTTCGAGAGGGGAAACACAGCGACGAAGTGACACGAATAGGACAATGACAAGCTTACTAACGAGAAGCGGTTCCGAAATCCACTGACCATGGAGACCCCATTAAAATGATAGAGAGCGATCGCGAGGGTATTTGCTCATGAAGCGAGAAGGAATCCAGGAGGAAAGCGAACTCGAGCCGGCCTCGAGCTGGTGTTTGAGATACTATTGAGATGTTTCGGAGGTTCAATTCAATCTTCGCATGCGGGTCGCGGTGAATAGTGCGTGCATCATTTCAGGCAGACAGGGGTAATTTATGAGAGCCTTGTTGAGTACGGACAGTGCCCTCACTGTTGATGCCGATACGGAAAAATCGAGGTCTACGGTCTAAATCGAGATCGACGATGGAGTAATAAAACTTTCGACTCGACTCCTTCGTAAGTTGCCCTGCACTACCTCAGTCGTTTTACGTTTCGCTCCCGCATCAAACGCTACTTAAACTTTCGCAGTGAATGACGCGCGATGGGGGATCCCCTTTTTTCACCAATCAACTGACGACGAACCAAAACCAAAACATAGAGGATGACTTGAATTCGGGGAAAGATCCCTCGACCACTCCAGCAGAGACGACAGTGGCCATGTATCCAGCGTTGCTATCCCATCTTCTGAGACTCTCCAGGACGTCGCGTCTCGCAGCTTTTCAGTCTGTTTAACGTTATAGAGGGCGCTGCTGTGGACCATGTCACTGACAACCGCACGTTTCGCTGGATAGCCTGTCGCTCGACGGATAGTTTCGTCACGCAGAACTCACAAACGCTCGGAAAAAAATATGCATATCATGAGGAAAACGTATGCAACTGGACCACGTGCATCGCTTTGAATACGTAGATCTGTCTTAGATCGACGTCCTCGAGAGTGACGAATCGATGAATCGAGAATCGCCGGTACTGCTGTCCGAAGAACAAACGGAGATCACGTTTTCCATCGCAGCGGAAACCTGACACCTTCACGGGCCGAGTCCCGAAGAGCGGAAAGATTATCCGGGGAACCATATCATGAACGCTCCAGTGACAGAAGGTATGACAAGCGACCGTGAATTATTGCACATACAAGTTCTCCTGCAGCTCTCTGCAGTATCAAGGTTTTCTTTCCAATCGATTCCTTTCATATACAATCGGAATCGAATATAGAGACCGACCTCGGAGACCGGCACCTGATTGAAGTTTCGAAGAACTCGGATCACCGTTATTATCCAGAGGGAGTACAGCCGCTCTGTGGGAATTTCTATTCAGGGTACGGTATACGAAGCCCGCGCGATGGCTTACCCGACTTCGAATTCATTCGTGCCCACCAAGGATAAAAGGAACAAATCCGAACAGTTCTTTCTAGTTCTCATTTAAACATGAGAGCAATCTCCGTCATGGCTGCCTTTTTTTCGTTGATGAATCTCACAGTCGTTCCGACCCCCATTGAAAAAAATAATAATTCTTTCTCCAAGTCCTTGAGTCATTTTCCGGAGGCTTATTCTATCATCATTGACTGAGAGATAAGTGAGCTCCAAGCGATCAGGGGAACATCCTGAGGGAGCTCTAGTTCGGGGGAGCGGAGGAGCTAAATCTTCCTCGGCTCCCGTCCAGATGTGCCCTTCATGAGGCTTGATGTCTTCCGGATCCGCTTCGAATAGTTCGAGCCGACTTTCCTGCAATGCAGATAGAATTCTGAAGGATCCGACGCGGGTGAATATCAAAATATGTGGACGATGGAAAGGTCCGCCCGCTTCTTAGGGAACTCCCTGCAGAGATCATCAACAGCATTGTCTACACTCTCCCACATCGACAGATTCCCTTTTTGTGCAATTTTACCCCGCGTTCTACTTTTACGTCTTCGCCATAGACTTGACATACGTACATTTGTACGCTATCTCAAGCTTGACGTACAAGCGTACAACAGTACGCCGTACGAAGCGTACCAGCGTACGAGCCGAATTTCATGTTGCGTGTCCGTGGCCATTCCACCACAAAATATTTAGGTTTTAGCATCTTCCCTCAGTATCGGTGAAGATTTTACTTTTCGGAACTTAAGAATTCTCCGAGCCTGTGTTTGAGGTAAGATGAATCCCTCCGGCACACTCGAAGTGCGTCAATGCGGAGCGACAGTGTTTTCGGGCTCCTTCAACCCGCGGCCGGATGAGCTATGCAGACTGATGCAATCCAAGCGATCTTGACCATCGATCTTCGACGGGAATGCTCTTACACTCGCCTTTCCTCCGCAGACATGGAGTGGTACGACGGTGGAATTACGGATGCCATATCGGCAGCTCGTGATGAGGACAAGTTAATCACTGTTTATGTTTACGGTGAGTGCCATAGATCGGTAACTCTATCTCCGTACGCAAGACCGGCTAGAACTGAAATTTTCGGCAAAGACTTCCACGATCGGGCATGAATAACCCTCGTTTCTGAGTCTATCGGTGTGGCGAGTCAAAGTCTGGATTGCCTTCAGGTGAAAACCCGCAGTCGGAGCAGGTCGCTTCGGCCTTGAACTCGGTGCTACTGTCGAGCATCAATCCCCGTGTGATATCCCTGAAGCTGAAGCAGCCTTCGCCAGAATTGACGCAGTTCGCTCAAGTCTTCCCCGTGCTGATTGTTCCGTCGCTGTATCTGATCTGTCCCCACACCGGGGTGGCTCTCGAAGTTCTGGCTGGACCTCAACAGACAGAAACCATCTTGGATAAAATAACCGAAGTAACCAAGGCAACGAGTATACAGGCGAGCCCGATCGGAATGGTCTCGAAGAAGGAATCATAAATCCTTCTCATTCTCCTCAGGTGTTAAATTCACGGCAAGCGAAGCCGGCCGAGGAAGCCTCGATGGCTGATCCTACTTCTCCAGTTGTCCATGCAGAGGAAGGAGCGCCTGCAGAGCAACAGGCAGCAAAAGGAGAAGCTTCAGCGCCCCCTGAGCCGGGGCCCGCGACGCCAGTTGAGGACAAGATCGACGACGTCTCAGGGGGAGATTCTAGCATGATTTCGCTAGAAGATAAAGTGCAGAGGTAAATCGGAGAGCTGACCCCCTCCCCGCCCCCTAATACTCTCGTGAGAACTGGTTCCGAATGAATGCCACCATTAGGGCTAACTCGATCTGAAATCCCGATAAATTTCGGATTCAGAGTCACTCGTTTGATCGAGATTCGCCGCGAGGAGAAAGCTCAGCAGGAAGCTGAAGAGACCCGACGGAGGGAAATCGAGCGAAGAGAGGCGCTGAAAAATATTCAAAGGATCAAGCGGGAACGAGAGGATAAAGAGATGAAAGATCTTGCCGTTCAGAAGCAGAAAGAACGGGATGAAGAGAAGAGGTGACTGCGAGTTCGGCATCTTCTACGAACCATCCTCATGCGGGGCCCCATGTCAATATCGAATTCCGACCGGTACTATTCTCATCGTTTCTTTGAACGCAACACCAGGTATCGGGCGCAGGTCCAAGAACAGATCAAACAAGATCGTTTAGAAAGACAGCAACGCCAGCAGCAGAACGACGATGACCGACGAAAGCGAATGCAAGAACAACAAGAGGAGGCTGAGCGTCGCAAGGCTCAAAATTCCGTCTCCGCAAACATAATGTTCAGGCTGCCTGACGGCAGTACTGTTACTCGCTTGTTCCCAGCAGACGACGATTTCGTTCAGGTAATACTGAATCCACCGCCAGAAAGATTCGCGATCGTTTGCTGGAGCTCCCGTTAATCATCGATGACTCTAGACTCCTACAGAGACTCCCCCCCTCCCGAATCGCCACCGCGTACCTCCCGATATAACATACGCTAGGCTATGCGCAGGTGAGGAATTATATCGCTGGAGTGAAGAACTTGAGCAACTTCAGCCTGGCTCTGAACTTCCCCCGTCGAGTCTTCGAGGCCGACTGCGATCAGCAGACGCTCCGAGAGCTCCAACTGGCCCCCAGTGCAGTACTTCTTGTGATCATTGTGAGTGGGATGGGCAAGTCTATCCGAAGTCTGTGATCGAATACGGGGCCGATCTTTTCGGCGTTGAGAAAAAAAACCGACCATAGATTCTGTTCCCGCAGAAAACGCAGTCAGGAGGGGCGTTCAGCTCGGGTGTCGTGCAATCGTCGAGCCGAGGCTTGTGGGAAATGTTGGCGGTTCCCTTCAAGCTCGTCATGAGCTTTTTCACGTCATTTCTGGAAGGTATCTTCCCTCCGGCGCCGATTGCGGCTCCGGCTGCAGCGTCAACGACCGAAGCGAACCGGGATGCTCCAGGACCATCGAGGTAATCTAATCTCATCAAAGACCGTAATACACAGGCGTTTGAGCTGACGCTAAAGCCGTCTCTGTGTTTCGACGCAGGAAACGCAGTCAGACATCGGGAGTCCGCCAGCGCACCCCGTATCAACGTAATGGTAACATCACCAGATTGAATACTTCAGATGAGTCCGATAATGAGACCAACACCTGGAATGGGAATTCCACCCAACAAATGTGAAGTTTTCGAGCTCTACAGGAGGCGTTACACCTAGGGCGGGACTCTAGGTATATATGCTTGGAGCAGGGGTCACATAAAGCAATTTTGGAACAATCCTTCGGTGAATAAAAAAATCCCGGAGAGCCGGAAATCGAAGAATATCCAATCCTCCGTGAGCATCACCTTGCAGAAAGATCGCGCCTCGATACGGAGCGCGAGCATCTGAGACCCACAGGTATCCTGAGGTTTCTTCTTTCCCCATTCGCGAGTCGACTGCTTTACGGTGGAGAAATTCTCTTCACGGGAATGAGCCTCCCGTAAACACAAAGTATTCTCGGCTATCCGATTCCCTGAAGAAGTCGATCAAGTTCCTTGTGAATGGGTCGAGCTGCGAGGTCGACAGCAGCAGTTATAGGTCTCATCTCTCCTCGGAGCCCGCGTGATCGGGTGAAGCTCGGACTACGGCTGCGGGGACGCCTGAGGGACTATATCTGGGAGGGGCAAGGATGACTTTATCCGCGGCTCAGATGCTGCGTGCACCGCTCGATACGATGAGCTAGAGGAAGAGGTTCTCCGACATACAGCTTGAAGTTCTGGTATTCTGACTCGTTGGATTTTTGAACCGAACAGGGCTGGTCTGAACGGATTCCCATGGTGTGCCGGGGAAGGGAGCACGCGCCTCGATCTCCCAGAGGTATCCTGAAGTATGCTGCTAGCCGAGTGGCCCAGGTCCGAGTCCCGTGGAGCTACGCTTATTATTTTGAATATTCGTACGGTGACATTTGATTGCAACAGAATGCGTTATGGCGAAATTTTCGGTATCACGAACGTTCCTCAGCAGCCTCATTGGCCGCATCTCCTCAGAGGCAGTGCTGAACATCTTTCCTCACAGCGGAATTCCAAAGCAATGAGCGAAACGAGTTGCAAGCGGTCCGTTGTAACGCGGTTCCACTGTACACCGTGACTTGACCAATGAATTCCCCTCTCGAGCTCAAGCCCTTCGCTAACTGAAGCCGCTCTCTATCGCAAGCCCCCCAAGAAACACGTCAGCCTTCGCCTCATGGAAGCCTGCTGGAACATTCTTTAGAAATATCAGAAGCCTCTCACTATTAGGAGCATCACTCTATTAGAGGCCCCGCTATATCACGAGGCCCTCGACACACCTGCGTTGCCCAGATGTGCATACACAAAGCTCAGTCGCCATTCATCGTAGAGAGAGAAAAATTCATTGTCGCAGCGGGAATCCTGTGCTTATTGCGATTTCCCGGTCCTCTACACTTCGTAGTGGGAGTGGGAACGACTGCGATGATTTGTTCGCAGAATTATTGAAACTATAGATAGAAGTTTCTCTCTCATATGAACTTCCGTCAAGCGAGTGTCGCATTACCTAACAGGGGCCCCTTTTCATCACTGAGCTCTCCCTCATTGAGGTCTTCCGACGAGGAGGTCGGGAAAAGAGAATCCGGAGCTTTTATTGAAAGGCATTCAGTAGTGTGTTCAGTACATCTCTCTCCATTTGAGTCGCCCTATTGAACTGACCCATCCGAACCCGGGGACTAGGGAGAATGAAGCAAGAGCTCCACCTTTCGGTAGCGTGGACTAGTCTGCTTCACGGACCGCCAAGACAGATTTTACAATAGGAAATTACGTTTATTTCTTTGTATATTCAGTATCATACCGCTCCTTTTCATTGGAGCTATTCATCGCACAATTCAGGATTGACTCGTCGGTACTCGTCCAAAAGATCGAGGTATTTATCCCCCAATTGCCTAACGAGTTCATTGTGCACCCGGTCCAAGTAATCGAACACCGGAGCTATTTGACCGCGCAAAGCCTGGCCTTTCCGATTTTTCTGCCGATTGGTCTGATTCTGCCGCTCGGTCGGGCATTGCCCAGAATAACGGCGTTGTAATTCCGAGCGTCGGTCTTGGAGCCTTGAATCAGAAGAAGACATATTAGAGAGACCGGGATGCTGACTCCATGATTGATGATGTTGAATCCGAGTCGAATCTTGACAGCTTCCCCAAGATTCAATGGAGTCCGGAGCGAATGCCTTCTGACTCGATACGAATCGAGGGGTGGAGTTCCACATACTCGTTCGCAACTTCCGACTCACATCCATGTAGACAGCGGGCTCGAGGTAGACAGAGGGCTGACATTCTGATTCGGAGCCATCAGAAGTATTCTCAAGAAACGATAGCTGACTTCTTAAACGAGAGTATGACCGTTCTTCACTGCGATAGCGAAAGGATTGTGAGCCTCTGATCCTGACGAAAGAAGGATCCCAGCGAAGACAGAGACCGAGCCGATCGGGACAGTGACTTGAATGTGATTCGAACTCTGCTTATAAGCGCATGAATTTCATGGGTTTCTATTTCGGAATTCGCGGTGAGATGCCAGTGGGAGAGAGGACTAGATTAGAATCGGGGTGTTAATTGAAGAAGAGCGGCGGGGGGATTATGCGATCTGCCACCTGGCCGTGCACCGGACATCACACAACCGAAAGGAATGCCTAGATTTCGAAATAATGAGCTGTCTTCCGAGGGCAGATATGTTCGACTTCTTTGGTGATAGATGGCGAACAGAGATGGGCGAGGCTCTGAAAGTGCGCTCGTTCCTCAGGGGTGTTCTCGATGTTGCTCTGGATTCAATAACCCTACGAGGACACCCACCGTTCGCTCCGATTCAATAGCCGATCCGTGGGATCTTTCCGTATTCACGCTTCGATATAATTTCAATAGGATACCCTCGGTTGGGGAGAGAGATGATTTCTTAAGCCTACAATAACACAATATTCTGTAAGATCCAGACAAGCTTCAGTAGCATTGGACGGGCAGATACTTAGCTCAGTGCAGGCCCCAACCGATCGTGATTGAACTTCGTCCACGTTCGCAAACGGTGTGAAAGTCGATTGCGATCTGAATCTCGAGCCTGCCGCGTCATTTTTGAACAAAGTCCATTTTCCCCGCGCTGGGCATACATATGTATATACCTGACCCAGAGTCCCGAGACCGCGGCCTATTGTAGCTCAATCGTGGTCCTCCAATACGTCTCTTTATGGAGTTCCAACCCTAGTTGTTTCATCGAGACAACAGAGTTCTCCCTGAACCATCGAAACCGCGTTCGCGAGCGATGAGTAGAGGAAAAAATACATCCGTGAGAGCGCCGCGGAGCAAGGGGATCATTACCGCGTTTTTTTCTCGGGCCGGATTCCGTCGGTTGAGGGAATCTCTTTCTGAGATGCGTCGCGAATCCCTTACAGACCGCTTGTGGAGAAGATATTCCTAACGGAAAGCGGAGTCCAGGGAACATTCAGAACGTGGGACTCGATGTAGGCTCGAGAGGGGAAGCGGAGCCCCGCGGATTCGACTCCGATCCGCTGAGGGAACATGGATCTCGCGTGAGGCTCAGGGCGGCGTGATCCCTCTCGGAGGGTTGGAACGCTGCCGTGAATAGCCGTCATGGGTTCTCACGGTTGACGGTGGATCGCGGCTGCGTCTAGGTAGAGACATGTCTACTATTCCTATACCCTACAGGCCACGCTCATAGCTTCGGAGTTCCACGGATGTCGACGAAAAAGACAGGAGTTTTTTTTTCTGCACAGGCTCATGCACCACCGAAGCACTCCAATACTCTTAATAAGGGACTCCGAAAAGTTCAAATACAACCTATTTCCTTCGCTGCCGCAATCTATGCATCCAACTGGGGCGATCGACTGGATCGATATTCCCGCCTCAATATTATCCCCAGGGGAAATCGCCTCTTAGACGAATTTCCCGATGGTCGTGATCTCGGGATAAGCTCCTCGCCACGCAAGAGGAGCGCTGAGCTGTTCCCGGGCACCATCCTCTTCAGTCATAAACCTCGCTCGCCGCGGAATCTCAACGCATACCTATCTCCGCATCCCACTCCCGCAATGAATCGACTCGCCCGGTGGGTCCGAGTTCCGAGCTACAGAAAACGAAAAACTACCTGGCTTCATCATCCTCCGGGGTCGGAATGCCTCGGAGGATACCAGCCAGAATGGAGCGAGAGCTCCACCTTTCGGTAGGGTGGACTAGTCTGCTTTAGGGACCGCCAAGACAGAGTCTACAATAGGAAGTTACGTTTATTTCTTTGTATATTCGGTATCATACCGCTCCTTCTCATTGGAGCTATTCATTGCACAATTCAGGATTGACTCGTCGGTACTCGTCCAAAAGATCGAGGTATTTATCCCCCAATTGCCTAACGAGTTCATTGTGCACCCGGTCCATAAAGTCGACCACCGGAGCTATTTGACCGCGCAAAGTCTGGCCTTTCCGATTTTTCTGCCGATTGGTCTGATTCTGCCGTTCGGTCGGGCATTGCCCATAATAATGGCTGCGTATTTCCAAGCGTCGGTCTTCGAACCTGGAATCAGGAGGAGAGAAATTAGAGAGACCGCGGTGCTGACTCCATGATTGATGATGTCTCCGAACTTGAGCTTTACAGCTTCCCCAAGACTCAATGGAGTCTGGAGCGAATGCCTTCTGACTTGATACGAATCGAGGTATGGGTTTCCACATATTCGTTCGCAACATTCGACTCACCTCCATGTAGGCAGAGGGCTCGGGGTAGGCAGAGGGCTCGGGGTAGGCAGAGGGCTCAGGGCAGACAGAGGGCTCGGGGTAGGCAGAGGGCTCGGGGTTGACAGAGGGCTGACATTCGAGTTCGGAGCCATCAGAAGTGTTCTCAAGAAACGATAGCTGACTTCTTAACCGAGAGTACGACCGTTCTTCACTGCGATAGCGAAAGGATTGTGAGCTTCTGATCCTGACGAAAGAAAGAGCCAGCGACGACAGAGACCGAGCCGATTGAGACAGTGACTTGAATGTGACTCGTACTCTGCTTATAAGCGCATGAATTCCATGGGTTTCTATTTCGGAACTCGCGGTGAGATGCCAGTGGGAAAGAGGACCAGATATGTTCGATTTCTTCGGCGATAGATTGCGAACAGAGAGGGGCGAGAAGCGAGGCTCGGAAAGCGCGCTCGTTCCTCAGAGGTTTTCTCGATGTTGCTCTGGATTCCTTGTGTTGGCGCCGGTATAGCGGATTTTTCCACTCGGAATTTATCCATCGAGGATTCCGACGAGTCGTGCTCGTGCAGCAGCGTAAGAACCCGAGGCCATTAACAGGGACGGGGTTCGGATTCTATCGAGCAGGTGATAACGCCTTGATTGATGCCGTATACACTTAACAACCCTACCAGGACGCTCACCCTTCTCTCCGATTCAATAGCCGATCCGTGGGATCTTTCCGTATTTACGCTTGGATATAATTTCAATGTGATGCCCTCGGTGGGGAAGAGAGATGATTTCTTAAGCTTTGAAATCCACAATACTCTGTAAGATCCAGACAAGCTTCCTTAGCATTGGACGGGCAGATACTTAGCTCAGTGCAGGCCCCAACCGATCATGATTGAACTTCGTCTACGTTCGCAAACAGTGAGAAAGTCGATTGCGATCTGAATCTGGCGCCTGCCGCGTCATTTTTGAACTGAGTGAGTCCATCTTCCCTGTGGATATACTATACATCTGGCCCAAAGTCCCGAACCCGCGGCGTATTGTAGCTCCATCGATGTCCTCCAATACGTCTCTTTATGGAGTTCCAACACTAGTTGTCTCATCGAGACGACAGAGTTCCTTCTAAACTATCGAAATCGCGTTCGCTCTCGGAGGGTTGGAACGCTACCGTGAATAGCCGTCATGGGTTCTCACGGTTGACGGTGAATCGCGGCTGCGTCCAGGTAGAGACATGTCTACTATTCCTATACCCTACAGGCCACGCTCATAGCTTCGGAGTTCCACGGATGTCGACGAAAAAGACAGGAATTTTTTTTTCTGCACAGGCTCATGCACTGCCGAAGCACTCCAATACTCATTATAAGGGACTCCGAAAAGTCCAGATACACCTGATTTTCTTCGCTGTCGCAATCTACGTATACATCCAGCTGGAGCGATCGGCTGGATCGATATTCCCGCCTCAATATTATCCCCACGGAAAATCGCCTCTCGTACGAATTTCCCGATGGTCGTGACCTCGGGATAAGCTCCTCGCCACGCAAGAGGAGCGCTGAGCTGTTCCCGGGCACCAACCTCTTCAGTCATGAACTCCGCTCGCCGCGGAATCTCAACGCATACCTATCTCCCCATCGCACTCCCGCGATGAATTGACTCACCCGATGGTTCCGAGCTACAGAAAACGAAAAACCACCTGGCTTCATCATCCTCCGGGGTCGGAATGCCTCGGAGGATATTCTCGGATTGCCGAATGTAGCAAGCGAGCCTTCTTAACATCCATTCCGGAATTCAGAGGGTCGCCCCAACATTGATGATGCAGCTTTACAAATGACGATCGAGGGAATTTCGTATTAGGGTTCAGATTGGGTGACCGCAGCCGAGCAGGAGCCATACCGATCCGGGTAAACATGCATGTGAGGGTCGATCGCCCTCGGATCGGATCCTACTCTTTCCCCTATACGAGGAACCTTCGGAAACTCCCAACTAAGTTCCGCATTCGAGAAGAGACCCTCTGAGTTAGAGCCTCCCAGGACTCCAACGGGAGTCCACTTGGACGGTGTTTACCCTTACGAAAGTCTCTCCGCTGACCACTCAAGGATTCAGGCGGAAAATCACGTTATTTCTCGAAGAGGCTTCGCGTCTTCCCTTTAGACCTGCTGTCGTCATGTGTGCAGTTGACGTTTGCGATGGTCGCTCCGCAAGTGCCTCGTGTCGTGAAAGCGTACAATCGCTTGCGGCACGGGAACATTCGATGTTCAATGAGAAAGCTTTCGGCTCCACGTAATGGTTTCCGGGAGACGGAAAAGTGGACCCGCTCTTTTGAGGGGATTGCGAGCGAGCGCTTCAGTCAGAAACCCTCTTGTCGATCATTACTTAGACTTCCTGGTCGGGGGAAAGTCGGATGCTCGCCCTCCCTATGGCTGACCGAGAAGACAAGTCTAGTCGTAAGAGTCAAACGAGAACTAGGCTCTGACATCCCGAAAAGCGTCGAAAGTTTGCCGCTCACAAAGATCGAATCGGGCTGGCGACCACTCGAGGCATTCCCCAGGGGAGTCTTGATCTCCGTCCCCGAATTTCTTCTCCAAGCGGTGCTACAGACCGCGCATTGCCGCTGCTAAGGAGAACTCCACCATGTGGAGATTTCTCCCGATCGGCAGAGCGGAAGGCTCATCGCCGTTACAACGAAAATTCTTCCGGTCAAGCTCTCAAGCGCAAGGAATATTCCTCGAATCGTTCGTCTGACGAGCTCCACCGTTATTCCCGAGGTATGCCTCGCCATAATCATCTGAGAAGATATGAACATAGGTAAATTTAAAGTATAATCGATCGACGGGGTATTATCGATCTGCAGACAGAGGACACTCGATTCGTCGCATTCAGCGGCTCATCGCTGGAGAACGCCGTCGTGATCGGGAATAATGCCTCGTTCGCTGAGGGTGAGCTCGCGGGGGAAAGCATACAAGTGGCACGAGAGCAGACGGCAGCATCGCCAGCCCCTCCCTGCATCCGCCAGCCTCCCCATTGTCCTTCAGATAGGGATAGGAAAACGGAAGGCCGTGATTGCTTACCACCAAAAGCACGCATCCTCCTGAACATCGTGAGGGTCTTAGGGATGCATGCTATGTGAGGAATCTGCTGTCCTGAGATCACACGATCCTCCGATCCAGGAGTAATGAGCGTGGATTCGCCTCCAGTCCTCTAGCTTCCGCTCGATGGGCTGATGACTTGTAGACATGGCGCAGAGAACAGATCTGCTCATTAAGTCACTGCCGAGTCAATGACGATGGCTTCGGCTCTCTTCAAGGTTTCCAGCGAGCTCTCAACGGCCGTCCATTACTCGGACTCATGAGGAGTAGCATTTTTCGAAATTCACCCGGAGCCGGAGCTTGAGAATTATATCGATGCCTCACTTCGGCTGTAAGACTGTGAGTCTTATAATTCATGCGACAGATCGAGGCATATCTCTCCGCAAAGTTTGATGCCGGGTCTGGGTTTCGCCTTGGAGTCATCAAGGCCTCGTCTCATGCGATCTGCGTTGATTGATTGAATGTAAACTATCCAAGCCTCTATCTGCCTTATTTTCAGAGCAGCCTGCCGATGAGCTGACACTGGAGCATTAATCACTCTCAAGAGGAGCTCTCCTCCGTAGACTTGACTGTTCCGCGTTTTCTCTAGCTTGCGCTCACCGGTTGTGGGCCTTGTTTTCCTCTTCTTTCGAGTCCCTGGATGGTCCTTCTGGAAATTCTCATGATTACGCTTTTCCAGTCTACGGCTCACTGTCGCTAATCCAGTCCCCACCTGAAGCTCTTTCGGAATCTTATTCGTGCAGTGAGTTCTTCCGAGGACGGCATTCTGCCAAGTTGCAACCTTCGTGACGATCGCCACTGGGGGTGAGAGCTCACTGATGTCCTGTCTCGTCTCGGGCGCTTGTCGGGCTCCAGCCAAGCATGGGAACTACGCAAGAGCTTTGACTCGTTGCACAAATCCTTGCAGGGAGAACAACGATGAGAACAATACTGTTCCCTTGACAAAATGGTTCGGACCCCCAGCCGCCCACGAGGAGGACATCCCATGATTTCCTCTCGGTGTATCTCGCGAGGACGGAAAACTCGTCCATACGCAGATTTCCGGAAACCGCTTTTCCTGAGCCGAATAAAGTAGATTCTTTGAGGCCAAGCTAGATCGCGCGCGGCTTCTGGGAGTCAATATCGCGTTCCGTGACGTTATGTTACGTATGGCGCCAGAACAAACACAACACTCAGATTTCCCTCTCAGGGACCGTCGGCACCTTTGACTCGGAAATTCCGTTCTGGCCCCCAGCTCGGAACGCACGCGAAAAATCAGAACGGTCCCATTGATCAGCAGGATAGCGATGACAATCCGATGCAATTTTTAGATTTTGAGAGACTCCTCTCGATTTGACTTCCGCTTATCGGGAGAATTTCGCCTGCCATGGGCTTTAATACTCTAGCGCCAGCGTAAGCCGAAAGGAAGCTTTCCCGGATAGCGTGGTTCAGATCTCGAGATCCGCGTCCAGCAGAGTAGGTGCCATGGGCACGAAATCGGACGCATGCCCCAGGTTCCGGTCTACCTCTAGCCTCTCATGATCGATTCGAGACCCGATAGTCTCGTCAAGCGCTCTCGCATTGCTCTGCGGATAGCGTTCCGGGAGCCGGATACGCCTCTTCGATTTGCCGAACCGGAGTCTCCCAGAATTTTTCCCCGTGATCCTCACAGCGATTCCCCATCATTCGACTTCGCGACACGTGGGAATCTTTTCTGCGATCATCGGTTCAGGAAGGGACTGATACGGGAGCTCGAACGATCCCGAAACGAGCGAAAACGCCTTCGCGAATGGGTCTCCGTGTAGGTAATTGCCCGATTTGACCGGACCGAGCCTAATCCCCGTTAATTAGCCCGGAAAACTCCGCGCCTAACTAGCTGCACAAGCGTCGGGTTCCTCCGCGGTACTTTTGACGTGCATCAACGACTCATCCCCGGCGGCAGATGGGTCGTCCCAGATCAGTGTACGGTGCGCCCTTCTCTGAATCCGATCCGGAGGAGGAGAAGTGAAGTTCTTTCCGTAGACTCGACGCGAACCGGATGATTGCGGTTTTCCCGCACCGCGACTCGATCAAGATTCTTACTCACCCTCTCGACTCCCCATAGGTGCGTGGGGCTCAAATTCTTCTCTCGGAAGGGCCGCTCCACAACGAATTCTTGAAAGGGCACGATCCGGCAGGTTTCCGCGCCAGTTATACATATGTCATGGCCCGCGTATCTCTGCATGGAACGTGCAATTCACACCGTTCCTTCGCAGGCACGCACGTGTCAGTCTCTTGCTTTTCGCGCTCATTCGCTCAACAGGATGATACGGTGGCCTAATTTCGGCTTCAAGCGTGATTCAGTCCGATGACCACTTTGATTGACCGCTCTATTCACGGGCAGATATCCCGGTAATTCCACATCGCTCACCTGAGGCCTGCTTGCTGCGAGCGACCGCAGATGAATATCTGACGGGCGAAACGTCGCCGGGGACGTGCTCCGCGAAAGTCGAGTTGAGCCTTGCAATACCGACGAGCAGTTCCCTAGAATCCCAACAGAGTTCTCCGTTCTTCCCTTTGGTTTACTAGGCTATCGATGGAAATTGCCTCCCCTTGTTCTTCCCCGTGCACGATCCACGCCGATCCATCTCATCCTCAACGGGGACGATGTATCACCCGTTCCGAGACGAAAAAATCACGTTGGCCGCAAAAGTCCGGCGTTCAGAGCAACACCGCCCAGCATTATTCCGGAAAAGACATTCACGATCAGGATCTATTCTGCTCGATTTTTTCGCCACCGGAAGTCGGGAACGCGCATGGGTATTATGTTCCAGCTCCTTCAATCTTGACAGGATCATCAGCGATCTCGATCGCATGCTCGCTCCTTATTTTGCATAAGTACTTCAGCGATGCTCAAGGCTGCTCGTTTCCCTGCCTCCTTCCCCCGGGGGAGATGTCTCTCTGATGTCCGCCAAGCACCTTCCAGAAGATCGACGTGCGTCGCGTCGTCGACGAACTCTCTGAAATCTGATTGCCGATCGAAACGACGTCGGCTCTTGATGCGTTCGGGCTCAGTCCTCGTGATTGGATGAGGCGACATCTCCGCGAAATCATTTTGCCCGGCGAGAAGATTGAAAGCCATATCCGGGGGGAAAGTCGCGAGCTGATCCGTAGCGTCTGACAAAGATCGGACGGAGAACTTGCTTTCATGAGGAGAGGGGCAGGGGTAGGAAGAACGATCGCAGGAAATACCAACCTCCCTTGTTCCAAGATATTCGGGCTGAAATGAGCCGTATACCAGTCTTCTTGTCGTCCAAGGAGTCGTGGCTCTGACATGTCTTCAATCGTGCATCTTTTGTGTTCCCTTCTCTATGACAGACACACGATCCATCACTGGAGGCGTGTACTCTTACGGGACCCGGCAGAGCTATGGCGTTTTGTTGCTGGCGAGCCCTCATACTAATGTTGCTGGAGGGACGTGAAACCGTACAGCTGTACATGACTTGAGGCGAAACGGTTTCATTAGCCTTGGAAGGTCAGCCGGGAAGGTGTTCATTCGCCCCAAGGAGGCGCTCTGTGGTTTGGAACCAAGAGCGACTTTCCTGGCAACACGAGACCCGTTTGTTCCGAGGAAAGCATGCTTCTTTGTGACGGAGCAATCGAGGGAGGGGTAGCAAAGAATTCGCGGCGCTGGAAATCTGGTCCGATTGGAGGTTGTTGTGACGAGCTCCCGAAAGAACTCCATGGATCTCCGTTGCGCGGTGAGACTCAGACAAGAGAGATGTGCGCGATTCTCGAGAGGGCGAGCACATGTCGAGACTGATCATGAGGCTTTGCCGACAACAGTGCAGGCGGGCGAGAAAGTGTTCGTGTTGCTCTTTATGAGGAAATGATCTATTATTTCACACCGATGATAAAAGCGTGACAATGACCCCGTCGACTTGCTCCCTCAGCTGGCGTCGTTTCAGTTGTTGTTGTTGGTGGTAGCGCTGTCGATGAGATCGCGAGACCGGGATGTACAGAGACAATCTTCCAATCTGGGATCATCCCGTATCACGGTGTCTTTGTTCGCGGATCTCGATCCGAGCTCAGACAAGGCCTGGATTCTGCAGGAATTCGGTTGAACGAGGATAATGGCCGCAGTGCTCGTGCTGTTTTTTGTCGTCTTTTCGTCTATCACATTACATGAAATTCGAGCGGAGAAGCTGACGCCGGAGTTCCTAACAGGTGAGTCTGCTGTTTGAGGATGAGCATCAACTAACTTCCCGTCGGCCCGACGCAAGAAACAAGAGATCGGAGGTGGATATTTGATCCTAAAACACACAGCTCCCTGATTTGAATTGTACTCCCCATTATCTTCAGTTGTCGATGCTGATGTAAATCGATTTTTCGTCCAAGGTGCACTGCTTCGACGTTTGGAAGCGAATTCCGCGACCCGGGAGCGGATCGGGCTGACAAATAGGGAGCCACAAGGCTCGTCATTGATCGCTACATTGGAGCGTTTGACGCTATCGAAACAACACAAATCGGGACAACAACCAGATGTTATCCCCCTGACCAAGACGGAGCGCCCCGGGGGAATCAGGTATGGATTCAGAGGCAGGCGCATGCGATTCGCTAATTTCTTTTGCCGCTTTGCCGGCTCCGCGCGGATAGGTCACTCCCCGAATTGAGTATGAGAGGGACGCAGACATTCATTGCTTCGAGAGAGTACTGATAGTGATGGAGAAGCCAACTGACCTATTGGAATCCATCAGGGGATGCCCCTCAGCTGAGAATACCCGGAGGAAAATGAAATGGAGCGAACTTTATGTTCTCGGGAGCTCGATCTCAAGTCTTTTTTTTCGAATCATTCTCGACAGCAGCATTGGAAGCGATTGGAATTCAGATGAGGATGGAAGCGGGGACTTGGAGCTATGACTATTCTTCTAGCCAGCAGCGTCCAGCACGATCCTTCCAGACCCCACGCACGAAAGAACAGTGGCGTCCTTCAGATGTTCACTCAATTCCGTGAGCTGTCCACTACAAACAATCGCCAGTACTATCGCCAGGGCGCTACGATGAAGTCAGTAATATCTACAAGACAAGCTGTTCCAGGGGTGATTCATTCTTTGTGAATAAAATAGTGCGTTTGCTCGTGCCAGCTCATCGGGGACTTAGTTCAGGATCGGGATGTCGGTATCCGTCGAGAAGATCTAGCTAGGTATTACCGGAAGCGGCGGAGATAGAAACATTCGATCCCTCAAACTCAGCCCGTATTTGGAATCGCATGGCTGCATGCGAGGATATTGATTCCTATATAGGGAGTTTCGAATCCGAGCTTAAGTTTCTATGCTCAGTTAGTTCGAATAATTTATCACAAGCGAACAAATCAGCGAAGAGCTGTCGCTCTGGAACATCAAAATGTGAGCGGCTAGGGTCGCAGAAACCTCTGACCGACTTCGGTTAGAGCAAATGTTCTACACCCTACTTAGGAACTCTAAACTCTATAAAATCCCACCCTCCTCGATGATCTCCCAAGGTGTGGGGAAGAACTCTGATCCGCGTTTGGAAAAAAATCCTTGGGTTTGGGAAAGGGCCGTGTCTGGAAGCATCACGCTTTCCCACGGGCGGGGAGATCGTTAAACAAACCCAGCCCCCTCATTGCCGACGAGTACAAATGTCAATCAGAATGAAGATCCTATCCGAATGACAACCTCGCTCTGTCGACACCCAAGCTTCAGAAGGATCGACCGCTCTGACCGCGGTCGACCCGTCTGGCACAGTAAGGGCGCGATAATGTGACTTTTAGGAATCAATCGCCGGTGTGCCATTTCGAGAGTTTCCGATGGAACACCACGGGATGTAAGACGCGAATCCTCCTCTGATCCTCAAGCAGTAACATGAACGAGATGACTCCCTGACTTAGCTCCCACGAGAAAGACCAGCGGGGGCCCGACATGACTAGACCGATACATTCTATCGTGTGCCGTACTTCAGAGAGAATACGAGAAACGGATAGATTCTCTTCCCATCTTCGTCCCGCATCATGGATCATGAATCACAACTCGCCAAATCTCTGCGCGGAATGATTTTGACGACCGGAAGCGGAACAGTCCACGGCGGAACCGTCTGTGGTTTCGCTCCCCTCCTCCCCTCGCTCTCGTCATTGAATGAATGCTTGCCCAACAAAACTCTGGCGCGGGTTCTGCTATGAGCTGGAAGCTCGGCACGGAGCTACCACGATCCGGTTGAGGGCAGGGACGAGGTAAATGCAGGCGATCGGAGGAGTGATCGTTTTGCGCATGAGAATCGCCTTAATCAAGTAAGTTGGGCGAGTCTCCGTCGAGGAACAGGAATCCCAATATCGCAACATGAATCGGTGTGCGGCGACTGTAATAAAATATATCATTTAGATATGTACGATTAATGCGCATTATTCCTCGTGAAATTGAGATTGATGCATGAAGTCATCAATCGAATAGGGTCTGGGTCTGATTGCGGTTTTTCGATGGACTAACCTGAACCAGAACGTAGCGCCCCTACGATCAATGACTCGCCTCGTGCTGCAATCGCAGTCTCCGCCGAAAGTCCCTAGGTTCCGCAAGCGGTACACTCATGAGCCTGGTCGATTTCCCTGGCTGAAACTTCGGAACTGACCACCCCATGCATCGATGTGCTGTTCGAATGTTCTCGAACCAGCTTATCCTAGCAGTTTCATCGGAGTTATTCCTGCTATAGCTTTGAGTCATTGTTCTCGTCCTGGATTGACCTTTCATGCCGGATGCCTTGTGGAAATCGTCGGAATCTTCAGGGTCCATTAGAAGATCCCTGCTCTTCGTCGGGACTCATTGGCGACTTCTGAGAACATCGAGCTGTCAATTCTACCTTCGATAAGCTGATGAGCCCCGATACCTGTCACCGGGCTACGATCTGTCGTAGAATCGTAGGAATGGCTCAAGACTGATCAGTCATGACTTTTCCTCTCTGGAGCAGCTCCCCACTCACCCGGAAAATATTTACCCTGTTTCGCCTCTTGTTCGGCATATTGTGACTCTCCCCGGGTAGATTTCGGATGGAAACCCGAGTATCAACAAGGCAATATGTCCGGGAGCAAACATGACAAGACCGAGGAGACCTGTCTGGGTCGGAAGATGGCGTGATTCGGACGAAATTGCCGAAGTTCCTCCGATCTATGGACATGCCGTCCATTTCTGGCTTTA